GACCAGAAGAGGAAACAGAAAATCATTTTGTGACATTGGCCTTGAGTAAGATGCCCCATTATTTCCTGTGGTTCCAGAGAGTTCTCAATAAAAGGTACTTAAAATGATACTAGAATAACATATCAAGCCAACAAGTAATTATATTATTATGTTCTTGGAAGTAAGCAAGTTCTTAAATATATGGTACTTTGAAACACCCTTTCATCTGAATCTTCCACATCCACCAGAAATGTGCTCATCTATTTACTGTCAAAGTTGTTTTGGCACTTTTTTTCCCTGTAAGTCCTAATTCTAGATCTTTAAGCATTCAAAGTCACACTTTGAACAAACCCAGAAGAGGCATTTCTCTCTATCCTAATTGCTAATCTCTGGATATCTGAGAATAGTAGTGAGGTTGCAATTACCTACATAACCACCTTTTTATAAAAGACTAGTGAAGAAGCCAGTCAAATCATTACAGGCTTTGCTTTCTCTGAAATCTTTTTGAAGAACATAACAGCTCAGCACACTGATGGATCCTGGGAAAGAAAGGTTGGTATTATCAACTCCTCCCTCCCTCCATCTTACAAAGAAACTAAGGTTTAGAAAAGCCAAACAACTTGCCCCAAATCCACACATCATCAAATGACAAAGCCTGAACTTGAGCCTGGGGTCCTCTCATCTCCATATCTGCATTCTAATACACCATGCTATACTGCAAGGGAGGAACAGAGGTGGGTGTAGGAAAGTGGCATTTCTTTCTCCTAATGCAGATAACAGTTAGAACCCAGGAAAGATCCACTACAGATTCATGCTTCATTTGAAAGTTACCAAACTGTGTGTGCACATACACGCTGCAAATCCTCCCAAACTGTAAATGTCTGTGCTGTGGTTTAAATATGGTTTGTCTGTCCCGACCAAAATTCACATTGAAATTTGATCCCCAGTGCGGTTGCGTTGGGAGGTAGTCCTAGTAGGGGAATGGCTTGGCATCACTCTCTGGGTAGTGGCTGACTTCTGGCTCTGGTGAGAATGAATTAGTTCTTGTGGGAATGAATTATTAATAGTTCCTGCCAGAGTGAGTTGCTATAAAGCCAGGATGCCCCTTGGGTTTTGTCTCTTTGCACATGTCCACTGTCCCTTTGACCTTCTCTGCTGTGTTTTGACCTAGCATGAGATCCTCACCAGAAGCCAAGGAGATGCCAGCACCATGCTTCTCTAACTTCCCACCTGCAAAACTGTAAGCTCAATAAACCTCTTTTTTTTTCATAAATTACCTACCTTCTGTATTCTGTTATAGCAACACAAAATGGACTAACACAGTCTCCCAAACCAACTGTGGGCTTTTCTTAAAGGTCACCAACAGGCCCCAAGGGAAAGAAGGGCTTGGTCTAAAATGTTTTATATTTCCTCTCACTTTTTAAACATTGGAAAATCCATTCGGCTCCAAGAAATGAATAGTAAAAGGTGTTCTAACTACCCAGAGCCAATAGAACATAATGGAAAAAAGGCAAGAACATGGCTGGACTTTATTTTCTTTTTGCTGAGCACATCCTGCGTTTAATCTGAAGGGTAAATAGGCCATGCCCAACATACCGACTCTTTTCAGGTGAAATTATCTAGGTTATAAAAACAAGCAACAACTGTGTTTTCACTATTCCTTAATTCATGGCTGACAGAATCACTTCTAAAATAAATCAGAAGCAAATATTGTACATAAGGGAACAACCCCACAAATTTCCATTACTTGGATAACTGACTTGTGAATTTATTTCACTTGAATTAACATTGTGTGGCATTATCTAAAGGAATGTGCTGCAAACCCAGAAGAGGAAAGTTAGAATTTTTATATTTGGGTTATTTAAATATACGGGCAAAAGAGAGGGAGGGAGAGACAAACACTCTTTGCATATCATTAATAGACAAACATCCCTGAGATATTTAACCTTCAAATTAGAAGAAGCAATTATGCTACATCTCCCTCTCTATAACCCCAAGATATCAACCTGTTTGGTTCTATGATACATCTCGTGTTCTATGACAGAAATCATGCCAGTGAGAGCTATGCCTATTTTTTCCTGTGTAAAGCTTTTCTTGCTTCATATTACGTTTTATTCTACATATTAAAGCTGAGCAAATAGTCTAACAGAAACCATCTTCACAGCCAGAACGTCCTTTAACAAGAATGTAGATAATACTGACGGCTTCTTTGAAGCAACATCCATCACATTCTTTTCCCTGGATGTCATTTAAATCAAAAATTACCAACATGAAACAATTTAAAGCAGTGTTCTTCAGAGCACCGGTTGTGGGCAAGTTAATAGATGTTCCACTCAAAAGGGTGGCATGGTCAAATGGAAAGCCTTCATCAGGAGAAGCTAAACAGGAGCCCTCTGCTTTCCCTTTAACCACAAGATTTCACAGAGCCTCTAAAATGCAAATCTGCCTTATATCCCTCCTAGAAAGGAACAGAATAACGTTGCAGTTTCCAAGCTAATTTGACTATGTAACATTTCATTCAAGGATAGCTCTGTTTCCCAGAGCTGGTGGTCCATGGAACATACTTGGGGTATGGGCATCTATTTAAAGGCCAGGTCTCCCTGAAGACAAGAAAAGAATGGATTCATACGCAATGTTCAAGTCAGATACGCCACATCTGTCTCTTCTGCACACCCAGAGTACACTGCACCCCCCATTTGGAGCACTGTGACGGATCCTAGCACCTTCGTTTTACACAGAGAAACCAGAGACCCAAAGAGGTTAATCATGTGCCCAATTACACAGCTGAGTTGGGGTAGAGCTGGAATTGGAGTGCAGTGATCTTGGAAACAAACAAACAAACAAACAAACAAACAAACAAACAAACAGCTAGGTTCTCAGCAAATTGACCAGGGATGCCTCTTACAGAGGACAGGACAATGATAGAATATTGTTAAATCTTTATTAAATCCAAGAAAATACACCAGTATAGATGCTTTGTAGTCCATAAGCGTGATGATTGGCTTCTCACAGTCACGTGAGATACGCTGCCCTCAAACCTTGTTACACCATAAGCACATTACCTGGCTGACATGAAAAGAAAAAACATACACATTATGTATGCTAGTACATACCAGCATAACATCAAATCCGGCAGGAAGATCATTACATGTGAATACTCTCTGGGGCAGGGGGATGGTTCTCAGTAAAATCGTTTTAAAGATATGGTAGGCACAAGCAATTGGGAGACGTTGTCCAATCCTATTTAAAAGTAGAAGTCAGTAGTATGTGGCATATGAAAAATTACAAATTTCTTTTCAGTCTCGAAAACACAAAACATTTGACATCTGTAATACAGATGCAAATTAAAGTCTGGGAAGTATTAGACACATCTTTAAGTCATTCTTTAAAAAAGAAGAAATAAATCTCTAACCAAAAAAAATTAGAGCAGTATTTCAGTTGAGCCTGATTCATATTGCAGTTTTACAGACACTAATGTAATCATACATCGCTTACTATTTTGGCAGCTCATAGATAATAGGGTAAGAGGACACCCGGGAAAGTTAATGTTTCGTGGTGCAAAAAGGTCCAAATTGAGGGATACCAAAAATATTAAGCTATTTGACTTCCTGCTTTTGAGCACTTCCTAATAATGAGGAAGTGTGAATCTAGATGATGAAGTAAGCTAACTGTACTAACTCCTACCCTGACGCTGCAGAAAGAGAAATGAGAAGCAGCCATGCTGTTTTTAATTAGGAACTAAAATCTACTGAAACAATAACAAGACAGTGTTACTTCCCTGCGAAGATGAAATACAACCTTCCCCCGTGTTATCTGCCCAGTGTTGACGCACAAACGTGAATTCTGCACTATTAAATGTCATAGCAAAAACTGAATTCTTTTAAACAGCAGTAACCCTCAGCGAAATATTTGCATCCCAATTTTCACCAAATGTTGCTTCTGACTCATTTGTTTCAAGGATTAGCAAGGGTCTGCAGCAAGGTTGAGAAAGCCAGAGAAATAATTGTTTTGAAGGACAGCCTTCAGAAACAAAGCAAGACCAAAGGAAACTGAAGCTGCTCTGAGATGACAAGGCCATTTCTCTACTTCCTGTAAACAAACAAGAGGAAGGAGAAACAGTACAAACATTACTCCTCAGCAAGGCCAGCTTCTGACCACCCTATTTAAAACAGCAGCATCCTCTCAGCCCTGAACTCCTACATAACTTTCTCTGATAGACTATAAGCTCTTAAAAGCAAGAAACATAGCTGGGTTTTGTTTCCTAAACTGATAAATCCTGGTGCCTAGAACCATTCCTGGGACTTAGTTCCTGCTTAATAGATATCTGTTGATTAGATGAACAAACAATGTTATTCTCTGTCATGGAACCCTATAGGAACTCTATTTCCTATCTTTATACCTTAACCAACCAACCGTCGAAGAAAAGTGGCAGTAAAGGCCACAGGTATTGACATCACGTGTCACACTAAAAGGGGCAAGCCCACTCCTGGACATCTATAGGGTTCTTATTAAGTGGAATAAAAAGCATTCAGCATATTGTGAAAACAGAATAAAAGGAGCTATGACAAAGTATAATTTATACCATGTGCTTTGTGGAAAATGAACAAGTACGCAAATGAAAATTCGGTAGATAAAGTAAATTGCTACCTGACTTCTCCATCATTCAAAAGACCTGGTGAGTTTCTTATAGGTGGTACTTAACTACAGAATAAAAAATAAATTTTTCTATTTTGTTCCATAGCTACAGAATAGAAAATAAGTTCCATACCTTGAACCTTAACAGAAAGACTGTTCAACCAATAATTAAATTTCAAACATACATTATACTTACCTAGAACAGGTAAACCTATGATTAACCATTTAAGATACTATTTGAAAATAGATTCAAATATGAAATGCTTTCCAAAGCAGGATCATATCGCAGCAAAGTTTGGCTTCTCAATAATCTGCAGAAATAGATCCTACTTTTATAATTTTTCCCAATGTATTTTCTCACAGAGAAAGCATCAAGGAAAACTTACAGCTGTGCAAAAGATGCACTGGCATTCCTGGAGTGTGGTCATCTTGTCCAGAGACTGCTCACACAGACAGAGTTTGCAAGTGATGAGGGGTGCCGGAGCCAGGTCTCCAGGAGTGGAATTTTCAGCTGTCATGGCGAGATAGTGGAGCCTACCAGCTGAGCTCATCAGACTGTCTTCAACTTTCTTCAGTCTCCTCAATCCCTATAAAAGGTCCAAAGCACAAAATATTATATGGATTGATAAAGCTCTTGTTTAGCCAACACATTAGGAGGCCAGGTGATCAAATTCTCACCCTCAGTTATCCCTAAACTTACAGCGAATGCATTTCTGAGAACCACGGGCTAGAGAGCGTGCTACCTTGGCAAGGTGTCCCTGAAGTCCTGAAATTTAAGCTGACCTCACCGTCCTGATTCACATCATATGAGTTACGGAAATTAAAAGACCACTACAGTGAGGCGGGAATGAGGAGATGTTGGTCAAGCTTACAAAGTTCCATTTAGACAAAATGAGTAAGTTCTGGGGAGTCTCATACAGCATGGTGACTAGGGTTAGTAAGAATACATTGTATACTTGAAAATGGCCAACAGTAGATTTTAAATGATCTCACCACAAAAAAAAACAAGAGAAGTGATAATGTTCATTAGCTTGATTTAAGTATTTCACAATGTATATGTGTAGCAAAACACCACACTGTCTACCGCAAATACATATAATTTGTCAGTTATACCTCAATAAAGCTGAGGAGGGGAATACCACTAGAAGCAAACATGTCATTTAGGAGTTGCATCACTACAATCAATTCAACAGACCCAAAAAGTACTTAAAAATAGAATGCCACTCAAAAAGTTAAACAAAGAGGTAACGTATGATCCGGCAATTCCTCTTCTGGGTATATGCTCAAAAGACCGAAAGCAGAATCTCAAAGAGATATTTGTACACCCATGCTCATAGCAACATTCTTCACAATATCCAAATAGTTGAAGTGACCCAAGTGTCCATCAACAGAAGAATGAGGCTCGGCGCAGAGGCTCATGCCAGTAATCCCAGCACTGTGGGACACCAAGGCAGGTGGATCACTTGAGGTCAGGAGTTCAAGACCAGCCTGGGCAACATGATGAAACCACATATCTACTAAAAATACAAAATTAGCCAGGCATGGTGGCACATGTCTGTAATCCCTGCTACTTGGGAGGCTGAGATGGGAAAATCGCTTGAACCTGGGAGGCAGAGGTTTCAAGTTAGCCGTAATTGTGCCACTGCACTCCAGCCTCGGTGACAGAATGAAATTTCGTCTCAAAAAAAAAAAAAGAAAATGAAAACCAAAAAAAAACACAGAAGAATGAACAAAATATGGCATATACATACAATGGAGTAAAAAGAAATAAAATTCTGACACATGTTATAACATGAATGAACCTTGACATCATGTTAACTAAAATAGACCAGACAGAAATTCAAATATTATATAATTCCACTTAGATGAGGTACCTAGAGTAGTCAAATTCTGAAAGACAAAAAGTAGAATACAGGTTACCAGGAGCTGGTGGGAGGGCGAAATGAAGAGCGATTGTAGGTTAATTTTTTCCCTAGAGACAGGGTATCTTTCTGTTGCCCAGGCTCGAGTGCAGTGCCACAATTATAGCTGACTGCAGCCTCGAGCTCCTGGGCTCACATGACCCTCCTGCCTCCACCTCCCAAGTACCTGGGACCACAGGAGGTGGAGACAGGTGCACCTCCTCACCTGGCATGTTCAACGGGTACAGAGTTTCTGCTTGGGATGATGAAATAATTGTTTTCTTCATTTTATAGATTAATTGTGGTACTGAGAAGTTAGGTAATCTGCCAAAGTTCTCAGAGCTTGTACATGGCAGAGCAGAATACAAACCTCAACTTCTGAGGCCACCAAGCCCAGTGCCAGATCCATTACACCAGAGCTGCCTTACGTGGATGTCACATGGACAGATGAAGCTGGGAAAGGGAGGAGGAAGGGGAACGGAAAGAGAAAAAGAGAGTTCAAATCCATGACCACAGCTATCCTTAAGGTCCCTAAAGTACAGGAGCAAAATTTGAGCCGAGGCAGGTGGATCACGAGGTCAGGAGTTCAAGACCAGCCTGGCCAAGATGGTAAAACCTCATCTCTACTAAAAATACAAAAATTAGCTGGGCGTGGTGGCAGGTGCCTGTAATCCCAGCTACTCAGGAGGCTGAGGCAAAGAATTGCTGGAACCTGGGAGGCGGATATTGTAGTGAGCCAAGATTGCGCCACTACACTCCAGCCTGGGTGACAGAGTGAGAACCCGTCTCAAAAAAAGAAAAAATAAATAATAGCAAATACACCTCCCCCTATAAGAACCAAAGTCTTTTCCTCTTAATTTTCAGACAAAAGACATGACATGTATGTCATTAGCTACCTAGTCCCACAATAGCTTAAGTCTCAATATGTAAGAACAAAAGTAATAAAACAAGTAGGTGAAAAACAAATTCAATTAGATGGAAACGGAAAAAAATAAATGAGATATTTGCTTGTCGGTCTGTCCACATTCACTTTAAGTCATACCAAAAAGTCAACAATTACTAACTCTAGCAACCTGGAGCACTTCAGGTTTTTCACCTACTCCCAGTACTCAGTACCAGAAGCCTTGAGTCCAAGTAATTAAAAACCATGTCTTCCACATGTTTCCATGTGTTTCCATTTTTTCTCGGCAAAGGTCCAATAAGGTTCAAGAGAGAGTTTTCTTTTTCCATTAACTACTGAGGAGCAATCAACCAAGAGCAAATTAAATTCAAATAAACCTGCACCTCAAATTCGGGTCTCTTTAGGATGGACACAGGCATAAACATGAATGATTTTACCTCTTCCTTCTTCCCAGTTCATACTTAAACAACTGTCATTAGCTTGCGTCTCCAATACTCCCCAGCTCACAGCACACAGTCCCACCAGCTTCCCCAGCCGCAGTCTTCTCATCTCTATGTTCTTAACACTGCTGCACTGCTTAATTAGCTTTCTTTCAAGAGAAATCCCAAGTAAATCAACAAGAAATGTAGGTAGTAAATGCTTTCAGAGTAGGGGAAAAGGAGAAATGACAGAGACCAGGACCATCCCGCACTCCAAATGTCAAATACACTTAGCCGTTTGGAGAAAGCTGGTGTGAAGAGCCAAGTCTGATGTTCTGACCTCACAAGAGATCTGGGTGCTCTTCAAGAAACCCATGTATTTCTCAGTCTTACTCTTTATTATTTTTTAGGAGACATTTAACAGGCCAAAATTTTAATGTACTCTTGAAAAACAAAGACATAATTGGATACCTCTTAGAAATTAATTGGATACTCTTGAAAGACATATTGGATTACTCTAATACCTCAATTGTTACCCATATTTGAATACCTATAATTGGATATTTCTTAGAAATAGTCTTCTTTTGAAGGTAGAACTAGAAACTGTGGCAATCAAGGCCATGTGAAACATAATTGTCTCTCACTCTAAACAGTACGTAAGTTTGTACTCCTTAAAACTAAGGTGTTACATGCCTATAGGCTATGACGTCAAAGTTATAAAAAATATATGTTATATGTAAAAAATGTTTTCATGATAGAAAAGCCTTTACATAGCAGAGATGCATTTTGTTTAAAAAATTCCAAGCATTCCAAACAGGCAGGACTTGTGACTCAGTGACAGAGGAAAAAAGTTACATATTTCACCTCTTTGAGATGTGAACAATCCAAGATGATTCTTCAAAAAGTGATTTATTTTTCTGTGTACAATACCAATTCTCTAAAGCAATGACTCTCAGATATTTTTCAAGCAATGAGCTTTCCAAAAAACAAAAATCTTAGTCAAATCACCACTGTATAAAACAGATTCAGGTAGACAAGTGTTGGCACCCAACAGTGGGTGTCCAGAGCCAGTCCCCCTTGACCTTCCCCACTCAGTAGCCCCCCAGGCGCCATCACAGAAGCCTAAACCTGCACCACGCACAGATTAAAAACTAACCCGTTAGTTTCTCACTTTGGGCAAAACCAACAATGAATGTTTAAAAAGTGAATGTCATGCAGTGAGCACTTTATAAAAAAAAAAAGAATATCAAACAAGAAATCCTTTCACCATTGGTTCATTGCAAAATGAGCTCTTCAAGCAGTTAATAGGAGACTCTCGAAAGCATCTAATGAATTGCCCCACACTTGTGATGCCTGTCAATGAATGGCTCCAAGGTTTCCTTGTATTTCTTCCCTTGTGTCATTTTAAGATTCACTGGTCTTCATAACATGAAATCCCCAATAGTAGAGTCTCTTGAAGCTCAGAACATTTGATAACACACTCCCAGCTCCTCCTATCCCTCCCATCAGGCCACAACTTCACAGGGGCACAGGCAATTCATACCTACTCCCCTCCAGATTTCAAGAAAAGTCTTCATTCCAGAGAGAGGCTAACTCACTCTTACTGGGTTGTTCAACTTGTTCAGCCTCATACCTCACATTTCTATCAGAAATAAGAAAGTGACTTGAATTACCCACCCTACCACTTGATTTTAAAATGTAACAATTATCATTACTTTTACTGTGATTACAGATGTGACTGTGCCTCTCACTGAGTTTCAAGAACTCCTTGGGAAAAGAATTTTGGCAGAGAATTGTGAGGAACACCTTGGAAAGAAGAGAAATCTGGGCCAGGCATCATGGCTCATGCCTGTAATCCCAACACTCTGGGAGGCCAAGGTGGGTGGCTTGCCTGAGGTCAGGAGTTCAAGACCAGCCTGGGCAACATAATGAAACCCCATCTCTACTAAAATTACAAAAAATTAGCTGGATATGGTAGTGGGTGCCTGTAATCCCAGCTACTCAGGAGGCTGAGGCAGGAAAATCCCTTGAACCAGGGAGCAAAGGTTGTGGTGAGCTGAGATCGGGCTACTACACTCCAGCCTGGGCAACAAGAATGAAACTCCATCTCAAAAAAAAAAAAAAAAAAAAGAAGAGAAATTTGACAACTGCCTTTCAGGTTTAGGCATTTTAAGGTTGGTAGCAGGTATCACTTGCTTACATATACCTAATAATAGAACAAGACAGATTGGCTGGGCCATATAAGGAAGGAAAGCCACGCTAAAGCATCTGAGTTTGCACTGAATTACCAGGAAAGGAGAACCAGCAGCTTTACCTGCTTTATGTGTCTCTCCTACTATGAAGTGTTCATTGTATGAGAAGCAAGTACTATCTGATAGGAAAGAACAGAAAAGTCACCTTTCCCTCATGTGTTTTCATTAGAATTGCCAAAGAAAGAACTACTTCAGCAAGGGATGTATAAGGAATGTTCATATTCTGCTGATGGCCTGAAAAAGGAATCTCAATCTGCTCCAAAAATGCAAAAGATGGGAGAGCCAACATTCAAAGTATTTTTTTTCTTTCTTTTTTTTTTTTTTGGCAGGGGGGATGGAGTCTTGATCTGTCACCCATGCTGGAGTGAAGTGATGTGATCTCAGCTCACTGCAACCTCCTCCTCCCAGGTTCAAGTGATTCCCCTGCTTCAGCCTTCCAAGTAGCTGGGATTTCAGGTGCTGCCACCACGCCCAGTTAATTTTTGTGTTTTTAGTAGAGACAGGGTTTCACCATGTTGGCCAGGGTGGTCTTGAACTCCTGACTTCATGTGATCTGCCCACTTCAGCCTCCCAAAGTGCTAGGATTACAGGCATGAACCACCATGCCTGGCCATTCAAAGTTGTGTTTTTGTTTTGTTTTGTTTTGTTTTGTTTTGTTTTGTTGAGACAGAGTCATGCTCTGTCACCCAGGCTGGAATTGCAATGATGCAATCTCAGCTCACTGCAACCTCCACCTCCCAGGTTCAAGCAATTCTTCTGCCTCAGCCTACCAGGTAGCTGGGACTATAGGCGCGTGCCACCACATGCAGCTAATTTTTGTATTTTTAGCAGAGACAGGGTTGCACTATATTGATCAGGCTGGTCTCAAACTCCTGACCTCGTGATCCACCTGCTTCAGCCTCCCAAAGTGCTAGGATTATAAATAAGCATGACCCACTGTGCTTGGCCATTCAAAGCATTTTTAACCAATGTAGTTTATGTCTGTTTGACTATCCAAAATTAACAGTTATTCCCTTGCCCAAAAAGATAGTGTAACTGGAAAGGATAATGTTTTATTAGGATATTTATCCTAATTATTATTAGGACACTCATTCCTAATTATTTTGGAATTTTTATATCATTATGCAGAAACTTTAAAATTTGGAGAAATTGCTAAAGCACAACTAAAGAGACTAAGAAATAGAATGCTACTAAAATGAACCTACTGGATATTACTGATTTCACAGGATATTAATGTAAATAAAAGTCCAGTTGATCTGCACTGAGGTCTTAATTCCAAGCTATGCTATGATAGTCTAGGAGTTACTCAAGAACATGGAACGAAATAGAAGAGGAGGCATATGAATAGTCTAACGTGTTTATAAGCCCTTGTGAGACATAAAGTCTTCACTGTGATGCAATATTAGATTGCAAGTAGCTGCAATAACAGATATGAATGCATCAATATGGGAGGGAGGTAGCAAAGAAGAAAGTTTTTGGGAAGGGCAGGTGGTGACAAAGAAAAGCTGAAGGGTTGCCTTGTATAATGCAGATAAATTCTCCAGAAGCTAATTTCCTAATAAAGCAGAAAAAAGAGCAGTCATCTAAAGTCGCATCCTTGCCTTGTTAGGAAAGCTCTCCCAATACCAGCTAAGAACACACCAGGCAACCAGTTCCCACTCGACACAATCTGAAAATCAGCATTATGTTGATCTTGGTACTTCTGCCCAATAGAGTGGTTTAGTTAGCTACTGGTTCATGTTCCTAACAGAAACTGTTAGTGACCCAAATGGTACTGACTGAGTCTAGTAAAGTGCTGACCATTATCAGCAATTAGCTGACATTCCACACTAAAGACAATCTAAATACAATGGCAGGTGACCTGCTGACTGGCAGCAGTAG